AATACATGGCTCTGAGCAGTGGCGGTTCTAGACACATTTTACTAGGGGGGCCAAGGAGGGGCCAGTGTTTAATCAGGGGGGCACACATAAAAAAACTGGCAACACATGATATTCAAAGATTATAAACTTTATTTTACTTTAAAATCATATGACATTTATTATAACACGTATTTTGTACAAGAGTGCAGATGCAAGAGAGATAGTGCCATAAAAATGAAAAAATAAATAAATAAATAAAAATTAAAAAGTACAGGGTACAAATACAGGGTTCATATTCAATGTGAACAAAACTCCAGGATACAACAAAGGGTACAACAATGTGCCATTTCCTATTTATGGAAGCCCCACTACTGTGGACAGTTGATTCCACATTTTGTTTTAAGAAAGAAAACTTTCTGAGTGATTTATAAACAAAACACACTACCCTGTATCCATTTAGGTAAAATAAACCAAATCAGAAAAGAAATTCAATTCAAAGAGGCTTTACTAGCATGACCATATTGACATACAGTATTGCTAAAGCACATAAACAGGGAAACGTGTTACACATTAACATCCAGTAGTCCAATAGGATGCAGACAATAAACATTAAGTTAACATTCGTTTAAAAGCAACAATCATGTCAACACAATGTAGCAATATGAACAACACTGATGGATATCAGCAACAACATGAAAACAAGAATATTACAGGTGTCTGTGTGTGTGTGTGTGTGTGTGTGTCTGTGTCTTTGTGTACTTCACTGTCAGTTGATGAGCAGGTGTACAAAAAAAGGCTTTACAACATATATGGGCAAGTCCATTTAGGACAGCACATTTCCACCATAGTTCACATTAGGAAAAAATGACAGCATGAATGCTCACTAAACAAACATATACTACATATACCTTTTTATACACATTTTTTTTCAGTAATTTTTTAAGAGTGAAAGGGAAGTAAGCAATCGCTCATCATAGGATCATACATATTTCAGTTACAATATTAGTTACAATATTAGTGTTAGTTAGATCATCATGTCAAAGCTGGACCTGCAAAGTCTGAACGACACAAGTGTGCAATGATTGGAGTGATTTTGTTTCTTTTTTTTTCTTGCTTTGCTTGTTTTCAAAAGGAAAAATCATAGTTGGTAAAAAATAAAATAAACTTTGTTGAAAGGTATCACCTGTTAATTTACAAATATCTAAGAGGTTTAGTGGATGCCATAAAACATCTGTGGAGCTGAAGATTTGTAGTACATAGATGTTTTGCAGAGATAATTCAAAGAATAATCATGAGAAAGAGAGAGAGAGAGAGAGAGAAGAGAGAGCGAGAGAGAGAGAGAGAGAGAGAGAGAGAGAGAGAGAGAGAGGAGAAGAGAGAGGAGATAGAGAGAGAGAGAGAATCGAGATCTCATGAGTTAGCTATCTCTTAGAGTAGCGAGCTATCGCTCTCTTTCTCTCTCTCTCTGCTCTATCTGCTCTCTCTCTCTCCTCTCTCCCTCTCTCTCTTCTCTCTACTCTCTCTCTCCTCTCTCTCTCCTCTCGTCTCTCGCTCTCTCTCTCGCTATCTCTCTCTCTCTCTCTCTCTCTCTCTCTCGCTCTCTCTCTCCTCTCTCCTCCTCTCTCTCTTCTCTCTCCTCTCTCTGCTCTCTCTCCCTCTCTCTCTCTCTCTCTCTCTCTCTCTCTCTCTCTCTCTCCTCTCTCTCTCTGCGTCTCTCTCTCTCTCTCTCTCTCCTCTCTCTCTCTCTCTCTCGCTCTCTCTCTCTCTCTCTCTCTCTCTCTCTCTCTCTCTCTCTCTCCTCTCCTCTCTCTCTTCCCCCTCCTGCCAACATAAGGCCCCAAAAAAAAAAAAACAAAAAAAAAAAGTGTTTCCTTAGAGCAGTACATGCAGCAATCACTTAATGGAGTGATGTCATAATGGGCCACAAAACTTTGGGGATGTGGATGGAAAGTTACAGGCAGGAGAGGGGAACCAACAGAAGCAGGTCTTGAGACATGAGTTTGCCCCTTTTTGAAAACCTCTTGAGAGAGGATTGGTGGGACATATATACAAACATACATACACTCTAGTAGTGTGTGGAACTACTGGTACTGTGAGGAAAAAAAGATAGATGATGTAAAATGAAGAATAAAACAAGCTTCAGCTTCTTAAGACACGGTGTGTTCATCTAAGTAGACACATGTAACTTCATGTGGACACCAGACTGTCTTTGTCTACACATCTAACTTCATATGGGCACCAGACTGTCTCTGTCTACACATGTAACTTCATATGGACACCAGACTATTTGTCTACACATCTAACTTCATATGGACACCAGACTGTCTCTGTCTACACATGTAACTTCATATGGACACCAGACTCTTTGTCTACACATGTAACTTCATATGGGAACCAGACTGTCTCTGTCTACACATGTAACTTCATATGGACACCAGACTGTCTCTGTCTACACATGTAACTTCATATGGACACCAGACTCTTTGTCTACACACGTAACTTCATGTGGACACCAGACTAACTCCATTCATTTTACCGGTGGTATTGAGAACAGATAAACCCACCGTGTCTTAAGAAGCTCAAGCTTGTTGTTTTATTGTTCATTATATCTCTTTTTCCTCACAGCGGCACTCATACGCTACTAGCGTATATATCATATAGATACACTACAGCAACAGGATACGGCGGTTGTGCTGTCTGGCAAAACGGTCCACAAATACATCAACATCCAGAGCCTTGGCCCTTCTGGACTCTATGCTCAGGACACCAAGATCACTGAGTCTCTCATCACTAGTGGTGGACCGCAGGAAGGTTTTTATCAGTTTCAGTGTGGAGAAACTGCGTTCGCGTTCGCAGATGGCAGGATACAGTTTTTGGGTGCGCCACTCTAATTTACCCGTGTAGAACGTTGCCGTGTAGAGCGTTGCATTAGTTCCGCTTTTGGCGCTCGCGTGTAAAATAGTTATAAATTCATAATTTTTAATTTGGTCAGCACGGGGGGGCCACAGGGGTGGCCAGGGACATTTCCAGGGAGGCACGGGCCTCCCCCGGCCTCCGTGTAAAACCGCCACTGGCTCTGAGTCTTGCTGGCACTGGCAGGAGTATGGGGTAATGTTAGTTACAGCATGGTGAGGGTGAATTAAATTCTTCAACATCTTGCTAGCTAGCAACTTTAGCAAAGCCAGCTGCAGTCACATATTGTCTACCTAACAACATGACTTCATTTCTAATTTCTGTAGGCAGTGGAAATGCAATTTGAGCTATCCCACCACGGCCAGCCCAACCTGGGTTGACTTCAAAGTGCCACTGGAAATGGGGCTTCAGTCAGCTGATCGTTTCAGTTGTTCTTTTTTTTAAGGTTATGATGGTTATTTTCATGACGGTCTTCATCCATAACCGTCGGTTACACAGGTATACGGTAATTGTGCCAGCCCTGACTAGACCTATTTCACTTTTGTGTGTTCACTGAATATGCAAATGTACTTTCCCCAATAGAATCATCACTTACCTCTTTCTACATGAAAGTCACTGTTAACTGAATTTGCTCACTACCAGCTGTGCAGTATTTTTAGCTTCCTCCGGGTGTAGAATCAGGTCTGCAGTGTTTAATAATCCACAGACAAGGCCCATCCTCGACTAACTAGATGCGCTAATGAGGACTTTTTTCATTATGAATCAGTTACTCATGTTGCTGAGACGGCCTCGTCGTCTACTGCTGGGGGGGGTTATATGATGTTTAATGGATCCTGCTGGTTGGGGCCTGCTGGGGCAAGATTGGCCTATAGGAGAGATCTGGTGGGTCACATTGGCTTATAGGAGATATATGGGCAGCGTTTAGACAGGCAGCCCAATTATGATATGTTTTTCACTAATTGGTCTTTTGACCAATCAGATCAGCACTGAAAAAGATCTGATGTGAAAAGATCTGATGTGATTGGTCAAAATATGTGATTGGTCAATTAGTGGAAAAAATATCAGAATTGGGCTGCGTGTGTCAACGCAGCCATTGGCCTATAGGATAATATCTGGTGGTACCTTCTGAGGCAGATTGGCCTATAGGCAAATAGAAATCCAATATGGATGGGGTTAAGAGAGATGGATGGAGTTGAAGGATGGGACTAATAACAACTAACAACGACTAATAACAACAAGATAACAAATGTAAGCATACTGTGTCCATAATAAGTGTATAGGTTATAGGTTGAGAGCTTTTGTGAAAGAGCACAGTTAGAAAGATATGGCATATAGAAGCAAACCGGATGGACATCATGAAAATGATCGGAGAGGTTGAGGGTAGAGGAAGTTCAGGAGTAAAAACAAACAAAATAGAATTATTGTAAAACTGACTGTGTCCATAAAATGTATATAGTATGTATAAGCTGGAAGTAGAGGCCTAAGCATTGTTGTTCACTAGTTTACTCCAATTAGGGAAGGGGTGGTGGTGTTGGAAAGTAATAAAGGGAAATATATATATTTTTTTTTAAAGGATATGTATGTATATATATGTATGTATGTATATATATATATAATTTATTTGCAAGTTCTGGTGGGTCACATTGACCTATAGGAGAGATCTGGGCCTCTAGAATTGGGTTATGTGGACTGGCAAAGCTCCATGTAGAAGTTCCCCACAGATGTAGGGTCACCTTATTCTGCTCCAGCCCTAGCCGTCCCTTAGCGGGAAAATGGCATCTAGGGCAACTTCATCATACTCCAAGTGCTAACCTATATCAATCTAAGGAGGAAAAAGTGTTGAAGAGTTTCCATGTCTTTGCACAATGTTTTTATTTTACAGTGTGCACTGGAAGTCATTTATGTGGATGTGAGTGATGTATTAGTGCAGTATGTGCAGTGAAATGTCTAGTGCATCTTAAGTACTGTAGCTATGATTACATCTGGGATGTTTACTTAGACAATAAAGCACTCTGACTGACTGGCTGGCTAACAAAGCGGCTTTGTTGCCTCTTTCTAACCTGTTTAGCTGTCTAACCTCTTATTGTCTGTGTTTTCATAGCTGCAGGACGAGCAACAGAAAAAGCCTGATAGGAAGTGGGCAGTCTTCGGTGCTTCCGCGACCTCACTCCCCCCTCTCATCGCATACAGGTAAGGCGTGTGCATGTGTGAATCATTTTTGTACTGTACAGTACAGCATTTGTTTTGATGGGTGAGTGAAGTGCCCGAATGAGTAAAAGACAGAATGAATGTTGTTGTGCTTGCAAAGAGACCAGAGAGGCTTTGGTTGGCTAGAGTGTTCTACCCCTGAATGAAGGCCATTGTCTGTGGGTAAATGAAGAAGCAGTCTGGAAAAGCCACTTGTCAGAAGTGCAATCTGTTTCGGATTTAATAGCCACCCACAAGATCCTCCTCTGTCTCTCTCTCTGTAGACCTTTACCACAACACACAACTGTCTGAAACGTTAGCAACCTCTCTTCTACAACAAAAGTGACAAACTAGCTGGTTCTGCAAGAAATCATTGCCAATTATTTTTATTATAATGGCAAATGCTTTCATTGAAACCGATTGAAAGGAGGGTGGGATCTGAAAATAATGTAAGACTATGCGAAATACAGCACATCTGTCTGATGTTAAAACCATTTTAGTAAAACTTTGGTTCTAGCCTGGTGTCCAGACGCGAGTGAGTCTAGGCTACTTTGGTCCGGTCTGTAAACTGAAGGCAGTCTAACTGCACTATTTCAGAATCATACTTAAAAATGTTCTGATAGTGTAGTGAAAATAATAAATCAGCACATTATAGTTGAAGTACCCCCTCTTGGGTTGCACATAAGACAAAAGGCAAAAGCAGGCAGAGTAAAGGATAGGCTTTTCGTGGTACAGCCTAAGACAAGTCTATGATGCCATGGTTAAAAAGGGTGAGCGCTCTGTGCTATCGGAGCGCTGGCATTGGAACCAGCAGTGATTGTAATGGATCATGAAGTGGCGGGCCTCAGGAAGGAAATGCACAGGAGCACAGGGAGGAGAGGGGAGGGTGGACTTAATCTATTCCGGCCTGGGTTTTTTATTTCCTGACAGGCCAAACACTGATAACGGCCCTCTGTTTGCGTAGTCAGACTTTCTTGCCTTGCTAGAGAGCTCAGTCCTTAAGATGAACTGTGAGAAATAGTGGCGTAATGACAGTGCTGAACTATGGGAGGACTTCACTGGCTGGCACAGACGTATTGCAGGTACATGTACAGTACCAGTCAAAAGTTTGGACACACCTACTCATTCAAGGGTTTTTCTTTATTTTTACTATATTCTACATTGTAGAATAATAGTGAAGACATCAAAACTATGAAATAACACATGGAATCATGTAGTAAACATTTTTTTTTTTTTTACAAATCAAAATATATTTTATATTTGAGATTCTTCAAATAGCCACCCTTTGCCTTGATGACAGCTTTGCACACTCTTGGCATTCTCTCAACCAGCTTCACCTGGAATGTTTTTCCAACAATCTTGAAGGAGTTCCCACATATGCTGAGCACTTGTTGGCTGCTTTTCCTTCACTCTGCCGTCCGACTCATCCCAAACCATCTCAATTAGGTTGAGGTCGGGGGATTGTGGAGGCCAGGTCATCTGATCACTCTCCTTCTTGGTCAAATAACCCTTTCACAGCCTGGAGGTGTGTTGGGTCATTGTCCTGTTGAAAAACAAATGATAGTCCCACTAAGCCCAAACCAGATGGGATGGCGTATTGCTTCAGTATGCTGTGGTAGCCATGCTGGTTAAGTGTGCCTTGAATTCTAAATAAATCACAGACAGTGTCACCAGCAAAGCATCCCCACACCATAACACCACCTCCATGCTTTACGGTGGGAACTACACATGCAGAGATCATCCGTTCACCCACACCACGTCTCACAAAGACACGGCGGTTGGAACAAAAAATGTCCATTGCTCATGTTTCTTGGCCCAAGCAGGTCTCTTCTTCTTATTGGTGTCCTTTAGTAGGGATTTCTTTGCAGCAATTCGACCATGAAGGCCTGATTCACACAGTCCCCTCTGAAAAGTTGATGTTGAGATGTGTCTGTGACTTGAACTCTGTGAAGCATTTATTTGGGCTGCAATTTCTGAGGTTGGTAACTCTAATGAACCTCTGCAGCAGAGGTAACTCTTGGTCTTCCATTCCTGTGGCGATCCTCATGAGAGGCAGTTTCATCATAGTGCTTGATGGTTTTTGCGATTGCAATTGAAGAAACTTTCAAAGTTCTTGACATTTTCCGTATTGACTGACCTTCATGTCTTAAAGTAATGATGGACTGTCATTTCTCTTTGCTTATTTGAGCTGTTCTTGCCATAATATGGACTTGGTCTTTTACCAAATAGGGCTATCTTCTGTAAACCCCCCCCCTACCTTGTCACAACACAACTGATTGGCTCAAACGCATTAAGAAGGAAAGAAATTCCACAAATTAACTTTTAAGAAGGCACAGCTGTTCATTGAAATGCTTTCCATGTGACCACCTCATGAACCTGGTTGAGAGAATGTCAAGAGTGTGCAAAGCTGTCATCAAGGCAAAGGGTGGCTACTTTTTTGGTTACTACATGATTCCATATGTGTTATTTCATAGTTTTGATGTCTTCGCTATTCTACAATGTAGAAAATAGTAAAAACAAACAAAAACCCTTGAATGAGTAGGTGTGTCTAAACTTTTGACTGGTTGTGTACATTTGGTAAGAGCATTGTTTCCAGTTCTCATGTTAGGACTACAGTAGGTGTTTGTGGTGTTAGTTGCAGTGGTTGTCACAGTTGTTTTGGCATTAGGGTGAAAGCAAAGCTTGAGTGTATGCCTATAGTACCCATTTAACTTTTACATATTGTTCACTGCTCTTTTCTTCAGTAAAATAGCTAAGGTTATTATTTTCCTATTAAGAATTCTGGATCATTAGTGAATGCTTTTCACATGAATTCAAAACAGTATTTGGTTTAGATTAAGTCTGCTCAGCATACTCTATTACGACTGCTACTGTTTTAACAAAGCAATCCCAGCATATTTTCTCTAAACACATCAAATTCATCTGTATTATCCTGTGTCTACATTGCTATTAGAATTTGATTAAACATGATTCATCTCAAAGAATGGACTTGACCTCCATCTGGATTGGGTTAAGTGTTCCTTTTCCCCAGGTGTATTCTATCCCATTCTGGTGAGTAGTTATCAACACTCATCTGCTGTGATTAAATTACACAACAATTAAACAGGTGACATTCATCACCATCTAACTAGCCTCTCTCTGTTCCCCAGTACCACCATTGTTACCCCAGTACCGCAAAGCCCTTTCGCTATCATCAGACTCGTCACAGGGGGTGATATCTTTGCCCCTAGTTAATTAACTGTTTACTCCCCCCTTCGGCTACAGAGTTAATTATGTCTAATTAAAGTTGGACCGAGGGTTGGTTCTTAACCTTATCGGTGAGTGAACACAAGGCCTAATTGCTGTCGTTGGGGTAAACCCTGCAGTTTGATGTATTGAATAGCCTGAGGCAGTAGCCACAACTGTACGGCTGTGGGTAATAAGTGCATGCTGTCCATATGGATGGTGGGTTGGAGGGATAGAGGGATCATTTGGAGAGCCGCCCTGGTAGAGGATGCTTCAGGCTCCACTATGGGACATTAAGGTCTGCAATGAAACCCCAAGACCCCGAATATAACTAACACCTTATGGATGGTAGGAAATGTGTATTTTATAGCCAGATGTCTTCACCCAGACTGTCTTTGTTTGTATAGCGTCATTATGTTTACATAGCTATTTAGAACATGGTATTAGCCTATAGGCTACTCTTACAGTAGCTTATATTGTCCCTGTACACATGTAGCCCACAGGTCTGTATTCCACATTCAATCCATACATTTTTTTATAATTTGTTTTAATCAGCATGCTAGTGCCAGGCAGGTAGTGTACCTTTCATGTATTTCTAGAGTACAGTACCTGTCATGCATTTGTGGTGCCTTACAACTAGCACATTTGTAAAGCAAATCACTGTCTATCAGAAGTCCAACATTCTTCCCCTAGCTCCTTGAGCTGAAAGTACTGTACGCTGCTGCCTTATAGCTTTCAGATGTTTGATATTCAGCTAGTTTGTGTGTTCTGCCTTTACAACGCTTGAGAACCAGCTGCTATTTAAATAAATTGTCTTTGTCTGTTGAGATATTCCTCTGTCTACAAAGACCTTTTTGAAAGACTGGTGATTTCACACCTCTTTTTGTTTTGACTGATACCTGAGGGGTAAAATTTGAATTATTCATTGGTTGGGACAAGTGCACGTGAACTTTTTATAGTAATTTTTTATTTATTTATTTATAATAATGTATAATTTATTTATTAATAATTGTAATTTTTTTTCTGTGTGGCATTTCTCGTTTGTGTCTCCTGATTAATCAAAGCCAATATGGAAGAAGATTATTAATATGATGTAATTACTGCTTCAAGCAGATCAGTCCCATTTGAGAGACTTTCAGTTTTACTAGATTATGCTCCATCAGCTAAAAGAGACAAGGAAACACAATAAAATCTAAAATGCAGTATAAAGTACAATAGCTTAGAGTAAATTGAAGAAGAAATGTAATTTATCTATGCTGCTTTAATACACTTTCTTTGGTTTTTCGTATCAATGAATTGTGACACAGTGGTTAGATAAACTCCTAATTTGGTGTAGGTTTGATTCTACGCTGTAGGCTTATTATTATTAACTTCATGAATTTCAAATGCTTTTATCTCAGGTTTATGAAATGTTTTATTTTTTTACTTCTAATCTTCCCTTGTTTCTCTGCTCTTTCTCTGAACAACAGGAACGAGTCCTCAAGACAGCCCCAGAAACTTCTCTCCTAGTGCCTCAGCCCACTTCTCCTTTGCACGAAGGTAATAAGGAAATACATATTCTTTCACATGGGAGTATTGCCAGTAAAAGTAAATGCAATTTAGCTTTTTATCAGTACCTCCGCTCAACTAGCATGCCAGCAGCAATAAAATACTTATGGGCAGGCTTTATTGTTTTGTTTAAGAATTTCCAGAAAGTAATTCATACTTGAACTCACAGTTGTAATTTTGCTTTATCTTGGTAATTATCTGACAGATTGCATAAGAAATGTGGGATACAAAGGAAATACGAATCTTGATAGAAACGTTTTCGTTTTTTGTTTTTTTAACAAAATCAAATTGTCTGAAGCAGACATTTTGAGAAGCGAAGGCAGGATCTCACTGTGTTCTGACAGGCTCTCTATACAGAGATAGAAATCACATGCAGGTTCAAGGGTTCAGTCTTTCCCAAATAGCCTGAAAAATGTTCTGTTCTACCCTCACTCAACACAATTTAATTTAATAATGTTTCTTTATTGTTATGATTCACAGTCTTTGCCACAGACCAGGCATGTAACGTCATATTAGTCCTCCGTTTGCCCTTCCCAACAATAGAGAGAAAGAAAATAGAGAAATAATAGAAAAGTAATAACACCTAATAATAAAAGTAATAATAAATACACAATGAGTAACGATAACTTGGCTATATACATGGGGTACCAGTACCGAGTCGATGTGTGCGGATACGAGGTAATTTAGGTATAGATGTACATATAACTAGGAATAGTGACTAGGCAACAGGATAGATAATAAACAGTAGCAGCAGCATATGTGATGAGTCAAACAAAGTTAGTGCAAAAAGGGTCAATGCAGATAGTCTGGGTAGCTATTTGGTTAACTATTTAACAAACTATTTAGCAGCTCATGGCTTGGGGTTGAAGCTGTTCAGGGTCCTGTTGGTTCCAGACATGTGAATGGTGGCGTGCTCGGCCCTCCGTTTCCTGTAGTCCACAATCAGCTGGGACTAAGCATGCACCCCTGAGGGGCCCCCGTGTTGAGGGTCAGCATGGTGAATGTGTTGTTGCCTACCCTCACCACCTGGGGTCAGCCCGTCAGGAAGTCCAGGATCCAGTTTCAGAGGGAGGTGTTCAGTCCCAGGGTCCTTAGCTCAGTGATGAGCTTGGAGGGCACTAGGGTGTTGAACACTGAGCTGTAGTCAATAAACAGCATTCTCACGTGTTTGTCTTGTCCAGGTGGGAGAGGGCAGTGTGGAGTGCAATAGAGATTGCATCTTCTGTGGATCTGTTGGGGCGGTATACGAATTGGAGTGGGTCCAGGGTGTCTGGGATGATGGTGTTGATGTGAGCCATGACCAGCCTTTTAAAAGCATTTCATGGCTACAGATTTGAGTGCTTCGGGGGGCGATAGTCATTTAGACAGATTACCTTGCTCTTGGGCACAGGGACTATGATGGTCTGCTTAAAACATGTAGGTATTACAGACTGGGTCAGGGAGAGGTTGAAAATGTCAGTGAAGACACTTACCAGCTGGTCAGCGCATGCGGCCTTGTGAATGTTAACCTGTTTAAAGGTCTTACTCACATCGGCTACGGAGAGCGTGATCACACAGTTGTCCAGAACAGCTGGTGCTCTAATGCTTAGTTCAGTGTTGCTTGCCTCGAAGCGAGCATAGAAGGCATTGAGCTCGTCTGGTAGGCTCATGTCACTGGGCAGCTCGCGGCTGGGTTTCCTTTTGTAATCCGTGATAGTTTGCAAGCCCTGCCACATCCGAGCAGCGTCAGAGCCAGCGTAGTAAGATTAGATCGTAGTCCTGTATTGACGCTTTGCCCGTTTGATGGCTGGGCTGAGGACGTAGCGGGATTTCTTATAAGCGTCCGAATTAGTGTCCCGCTCTTTGAAAGCGGCAGCTCTAGCCTGTAGCTCAGTGCGGATGTTGCCTGTAAACCATGGCTTTTGGTTGGGATATGTACATACGGTCACTGTGGGGGCAACGTCGTTGATACACTTTTAATGAAGCCGGCGACTGATGGATGAGCATTTTCTTATTTGCTTATGGCCCTGTACAGCTCGTTAAGTTCAGTCTTAGTGTCAGCATTGGTTTGTGGTGTAAATGGATACCTACAAAAAATATAGACAACCTCTCTTGGTAAATAGTATGGTCTACAGCTTATCATGAGGTATTCTAACTCAGGCGAGCAGAACCTTGAGACTTCCTTAATATTAGCGATCGCGCACCAGCTGTTGTTAACAAAGAGACACACACCTACCCCTTTGAGCTTACCCAAAGCTGCCGTTCTGTCCTGCTGATGCATAGAAAAAACAGCTAGATGTAAATTATCCATGTCCTTGTTCAGGCACGACTCGGAGAAACGTAGGATATTACAGTTCTTCAGATCCCGTTGATAGGATAGTCTCGAACGGAGCCCGTCCAGTTTGTTCTCCAGTGATTGTACACTCGCCAATAGAACAGAGGGTGGAGGCGGTTTATCTACTCGCCGACGTAGTTTCGTCAGGGTGCCCTCACATCGGCCTCGCTTGCGCTTTCTCTTCCGAGTCTCGGGATTAGGCCTGGTTCGGGGTGAGTAGTAGGTCCTGCGCCGCCGACTCGTTGAAGTATAAATCTTCATCTATATCGAGGTTAGTGATCGCTGTTCTGATGTCCAGAAGCTCTTTTCGGTCATAGGAAATGATGGGGGAAACATTATGTACCAAAAAAGTTAAGATCAGGGCAAAAAACACACACAAAATAGAAAATTGGTCAGGAGCCCGTAAAACGAACCATTCCAGCACCATTTTTACTGCATACCTCTTCTTACGTCTACTTCATGTTATCATGTCTATGAAAACACAACGTCATTGTAACACGTGTCTGTTCGTGCAATGTGTATGAATACACAAAGTCATTGTTACAGTGCATTTGGAAAGTATTCAGACCCCTTCCATTTTTACACATTTTGTTACGTTACAGGCTTATTCTAAAATTGAATAAATTGTTTTTTCTCATCAATCTACACACAATACTCCATAATGACAAAGCGAGAACAGGTTTTTAGAAATGTTTGCAAATGCATTATGAGACTCGAAATTGAGCTCAGGTGCATTTTGTTTCCATTGATCATCCTTGAGATGTTTCTACAACTTGATTGGAGTCCACCTGTGGTAAATTCAATTGATTGGACATGATTTGGAAAGGCACACACCGGTCTATATAAGGTCCCACAGTTGACATTGCATGTCAGAGCAAAAACCAAGCCACGAGGTCGAAGGAATTGTCCATAGAGCTCCGAGACAGGATTGTGTCGAGGCACAGATCTGGGGAAGGGTACCAAAACATTTCTGCAGCATTGAAGGTCCCCAAGAACACAGTGGCCTCCATCATTCTTAAATGGAAGAAGTTTGGAACCACCAAGACTCTTCCTAGAGCTGGCCGCCTGGCCAAACTGAGCAATCAGGGGAGAAGGGCCTTGGTCAGGGAGGTGACTAAGAACACGAGTTCCTCTGTGGAGATGGGGGATACTTCCAGAAGGACAACCATCTCTGCAGAACTCCACCAATCAGGCCTTTATGGTAGAGTGGCCAGACGGAAGCCACTTCTCAGTAAAAGGCACATGACAGCCCGCTTGGAGTTTGCCAAAATACACCTAAAGGACTCTGACCATGAGAAACAAGATTCTCTGGTCTGATGAAATCAAGATTGAACTCTTTGGCCTGAATGCCAAGTGTCACGTCTGGAGGAAACCTGGCACCATCCCTACGGTGAAGCATGGTGGTGGCAGCATCATGCTGTGGGGATGTTTTTCAGTGGCAGGGACTGGGATACTAGTCAGGATCGAGGGAAAGATGGACGGAGCAAAGTACAGAGAGATCCTTGATGAAAACCTGCTCCAGAGCGCTCAGGACCTCAGACTGGGGTAAAGGTTCACTTTCCAACAGGACAATGACCCTAAGCACACAGCCATGACAACGCAGGAGTGGCTTCGGGACAAGTCTCTGAATGTCATTGAGTGGCCCAGCCAGAGCCCGGACTAACATCTCTGGAGAAACCTGAAGATAGCTGTGCAGCAACGCTTCCCATCCAACCTGACAGAGCTTGAGAGGGTCTGCAGAGAAGAATGGGAGGAAACTCCCCAAATATAGGTGTCCCAAGCATCATACCCAAGAAGACTCGAGGTTGTAATCGCTGCCAAAGGTGCTTCAACAAAGTACTGATTAAAGGGTATGAATACTTATGTAAATGTGATATTTCCATTTTCTATTTTTTATAAATTTGCAAAAATGTCTAAAAACCAGTTTTTGCTTTGTCATTATGGGGTATTGTGTATAGATTGATGAGGGGGAAAAAAACACAATTTAATCCTTTTTAGAATAAGGCTGTAGGAAAATAGGAAAATGTGGAAAAAGTCAAGGGGTCTGAATACTTTCCGAATGCGCTGTACCTAGCCAGTATACCTGAATCATGAAAAATCCCTTTTGACTTGTTTCTGTCTGTCCGTCCCTACATCTAATCTCATGTATTATTCCTTTGAGAATTTGTATTTGATGTTCAGTGTTATTGGTTAGTGCAACAGAATACAGTTCATTACTAGTTGTTGGTGGCAGGTAGCAGAGGTCAAGGACACTGCTGCAGTAGGCTATTGAAAAGCTGAATATTTTCTACCTAGTCTGTCAGAAAGTGAAGGTCGCATATAACATACCACTGATCAATACTGCACATAGAGAAAAAAGGTAATCCAGAACCGTTGATTTTTAGGCCTTTGCAGATTTTACTTTGTACATTTTAATAATAAGCTCAATCAAATAAGGGCAGTTATCTGTTATGTACAATCCTGGATCTTTGAGTACTCTTGTTTTGAATATCATTCATAGGTATTGTAATATATTGTTAATAACTACAGTTCTCATTACTGATTAGTAATGGATGGGTTTAGGGATGGGTTCTGAGTTAATGGTGACGTCTGTCTCTTCTATCTCTGTGTGTTTGAGCAGGACTGATGGACGACGCTGGTCTTTGGCATCTCTGCCCTCCTCTGGCTATGGCACCAATACACCAAGCTCCACTGTCTCTGTACGTACCATACCTTACCACTCACTTTGCTACAAACACTTAAGAATGAACTCAGTTATTACATGAAAACAAAATATATTGTGTTTGCTAGATTTTTAAAAAAGCAATGCCAAAAAGGTTGTTAAACCTAAACCCCTTCACATACACTATACCGATGGAAAACCGTTTCAATCCCACCCCCAAAAAATACAGATACCAAATCACTGGAAAGGTAAGAATTAATTTGAATAAAGATGTTTCAATGTGAAATGATAATTTGATAGACTGCCTCTAGTCTGTTCTCCTGTGACCGGTGCTGTACTGTAGGCTATTGGAAGTCAGATAGATGAGGGGTGCCATAGTGAACAGGCTGACTCATACCACCAGCAATGTGTTTAGGGCCAGCAGATTTGTTTTGGAGGAAACATGGCCCTGACACAAAGCCAACAGCCAGGCCACCCACATACACGCACTCTTGCACACACAACCAGAAACAGAAACACACACGCACATACACACACACCTCTGATCTGTTTACTGACAAAGTCAAATCACACAGGCAGGAAATTGTCAACTCTGACACCCATGCGTCACACTCACACGCAGGACTGACCACACACACACACACACACACACACACACACACACACAGGCCCCATGACAAAGTACACAAGCCAAGTAAGCACGCCTCCACACACAAAGTAATGGGCTGTTTGTTTACGGCCATGTTTTATGAGGACGATCAATTAGAGTTGATAAATACTTGTGGCTTGTGAGGAATACTTTTGGAGGATTTACGATAGAGAAGGATTGACTGGCAACCATGTTTGTCCAGGCTGTGTTTACACATCTGTTTGCTAAGGGTCTTTGCAGCTTACTTGAAGTTGATTCCGTTTTTGGATTTTATTTCAGAACAATGTGGTGAGAAGAAAAGGAAAAGTTCACAATAATTTGTTAGCTTTCATGTACCGTCACAACCATTTTGGCACCCATAAGTTTCAGTCCTTTGTTTTCAAGACACTGTAAAAGGGAATAGCTACTGTAATGAACATTTCCCCAATCAAATTAAAAACAACAGTCAGAAAAAACACACACTCTCCTGGTAACTGTCATTCTCTCGTGCAACAACATCAATCAAAGCCTCTCGTTCTTCTTTTTATTTTTTTATTTTCTCGTTCAATGTATATTCATTTCATTTCCAGTCGTCCTGTTCATCACAGGAGAAGCTTCACCAACTGCCCTTCCAGCCCACGCCGGACGAGCTGCACTTCCTCTCCAAGCACTTCTGCACCGAGAGCATCGCCGGGGATGACCGACGGAGGGGGACCGCGCCCATGCGACCCCGCTCGCGCAGTCTCAGGTAAGTACGAAGGCCCGGCAAGGTCACACATCTTTATAGATGCTGGGGATAACGGTCGCTGAAAAGTATGCTCCTTTTATATACTTTTATGTGAATAGTTTTCAAATGAGATTTGATTCATAATATATAAATGTATTTGTGCTGTAAGATATGTGTTGTAATATAATTACTGATCATACCTTTGTATTTCTATGTGTTTGCAGCCCTGGAAGATCCCCTTCCTGTTGTGATCATGAGATTATTATGATGAACCATGTCTACAAGGAACGCTTTCCTAAGGTGAGGAGCCAACTGAATTAGATCAAAATGTCTTATTGCTTTAAAGCTAGAATCCTTAGTTGAAACAATAAAAAATTGAACTCCCCGCCCCAGTTTCGCTAAAAAGCTAAGGGATGGGGCTGAAGAAATCTAACCACTCTCAAATTCATAGACAGAGCTATGGCTGCAAGGACTGAGTATCCATAATATCAAATGTATAGTTTTAACCATGTTTTTTAGGCTATACAGTGTTTGTTTACGTTTACCTTGTTTACAAACATTGGAGAGAAACAAGCTTATATTTGAGGTTCTAATGGGGTACGACAGTTGAACTAAGCTCATGAGGTATAAATTAAATTATTCAAGAATTAATGGGTATATGTCATTAATTTATAAGTCCAAAAATGGATGTAGCATCTAAGGATTCTAGCTTTAACAATGGTAATTTGCTAATGTCTTAATTTGATCACGCTGTTGTCGCTGAGAATTTTCCTGCGCCCCAGGATTTAGATAGATAAATACACTAAAAACCCGCTCCAACACATGGTTATATTAACAGTATTGCACTTTTCATGTAATTTTAGCCAGCTAATAGCCTAACCACCGATCAAGCAACATTACATCGGCGGAACAGTGTAAATGAACTAAATGTTCAAATCCCAATTGGTCCAGGATTATTTTTGCTGCGATAAAACTGGTCAAATTAAGAGAGTACATCTGTACATAAGATTTATTGTTCACACAGTGACACACCTGTCAGTAGGAGTTGGTCTTTTTCACCCACTTCTTGCATTCTTACCTTCTCCTGACCACTTTTGACACTAGTTTTCTTTCTACCTTTGAACCTTTTTACCCTCTCTCTACACATTCTCTACTTCTAACCCTTTCCACCCCTCTGTGTCTCTCCAGGCCACAGCCCAGATGGAGGAGAGGATCCAGGAGATCATCCGGACCTGCTCCCCGGAGAGCGTGTTGCCGCTGGCGGACGGTGTGCTGGGGTTCGCCCACCACCAGATCATCGAGCTGGTCCGCGACTGCCTGGAGAAGAGCCGCCTGGGCCATATCACCTCACGCTACTTCTGTGAGCTCACCGACAAGCTGGAGAGGCTCTTCCAGGAGGTGGGTGACACTTTGGGTGCATCTCAATAGTGTAATAATAATACATGTAATGCAAAGTGGTTTCCTTTCCTTGTGTCCTCTACTCTAGAATACAAAATCCGGAATAATGAAGGAAAGGAGATGAGGAAAGGAAGCAATAAAGGGTCGTGTAGAGTATAGTGCCACCTGCTAGCATTGGGGGATATCACTGGTTAACTTTAGCATCTTCCGGACCCACTTTAAAAGGCATCAACCTTTTACATAAGTCCTCTGTAGCTCAATTGGTAGAGCATGGCGCTTGTAACGCCAGGGTAGTGGGTTCGATCCCCGGGACCACCCATACCTAAAAATGTATGCACACATGACTGTAAGTCGCTTTGGATAAAAGCGTCTGCTAAATGGCATATTATTATTAATAAGTACAGTGTAATTACAATGTTGGTACACATTACTGCATAGGACTTTGATAAAATCAAACAATTTCTTTCACCAAAATAATTTGTTTTACAGTGCTCCCTTACCTCTCTGGTATTGAAAGTCATTTTCGAAGCACTATTACTAATCTAACTAATACTAACCTGTTTATAGATGTTCTGTATTTCTCAACGTCCTCTCTCCTCATACCTTAATGGTGCTTACAGTCCCGAGCACTGAGCAGCTCACAGGTCCGTGTGAAATGTTGAGCGAGTGTGTTCTGTTCTCTTTATCTATAGTCCACATCCCGGTCGGAGAGCCAGGAGGTGAACTTCATCAAAGAGCTGGTAAAGAAGATCCTCATTGTCATCGCCAGGCCGGCGCGCCTCCTGGAATGCCTGGTATGTCTCGCCTAATTGTCGCTAGCTAGATACCAAGCACATGGCCATGACTTCACTCACTGGCGCATATTACATAAATGATATGCCTACTAGGGACAGGGTTTCTTCCTGACCATGTGGTGTGACTAGGCAAAACTCTGAGCCCTAATACTAAGTATGAGTTCTTTCTGGTGGTGACAAGCTATATAGATGCAATCCCATCCTCATCTTGCTCCTGCTAGTCCTCATTGTCACAATAACATCACCATCAACCCAGAGAAAAGCCAACAGCACCAGTTCCAGAAGTGATGTAGTTAAACCTGTGTCCTTGTGTTGTCCTCTACTCAGGAGTTTGATCCAGAGGAGTTCTACCATCTGTTGGAGGCTGCCGAGGGTCACGCCAAAGAAGGCCAGGGCATCAAGACTGACATCCCCCGCTACATCATCAGCCAGCTGGGCCTCACACGGGACCCACTGGAAGGTACGTCATGTTTGACTTTTGACCTTTTACGGGGTAGGTTGACAGTGCCTAAGCCAGGGCTCTCCAACCCTATTCCTGGAGAGCTACCGTCCTGTAGGTTTTCACTCCAACTCTAATCTAGCGCACCTGATTAATAATTAGATGGTTGATAAGCTGAATCAGGTTAATTACTACTTGGGTTGGAGTGAAAACCTACAGGAGGGTAGCTCTCCAGGAACAGGGTTGGAGAGCCCTGGCCTAAACCAACATGAGTGGAGGTGCAGCCAAACATCACACGTTCAGAATGAAAAGAGTGCTTACTGATGAAAGCTGCAAGGGCTGTGAACTCATTCCAGTGGTGGGCTGCATTGATGAAGGAAGTAATCAAGATGTACATTCAAGTTCTTCACCCTTCTCCCGAAGTGTGCACTTCCCCTCATGGATTGAGGAATATGGTGGAAACTCCCTCCAGCCATGCTTGCACCAATCCAATGCTTTTAAATGTATGAGGGGGATTGAACGAGTGCCAACTTCTGGAGAAAGGTAGAGAATCGTAACGCAGCCATTTAATTGTTCATACAATCACTTGTCATGCTTTGTGTTCTCGAAGTTACCGCTACATTGATGACCTGATGAAAATATGATAAGTATAATTATATGATAAGAATATGATCGTGACACAGAATCTACTTAACTCCAACCAGCTTCATCAGAACACTACAGCCTACAGTTTGATCCCGTTTTAGTGGAGGAGAGGAATCCTCTTAAAAACTCCCACTGTAATGTACTGAGAGAAAATACTACGATAAATTAAAGATCTTAATTATGTTGTGGATATTGTGGTCTCAATGTTTTGGAAGCACTGCTGGAGCATAAAATTGTATCCATTTTTAGTTTTCAAAGAATATTACTTGTATTACTACTACAGAAGAACTAGTACTAGAAGTACTAGCTACCATTTCAGTATCCCCAATGACTAAAATATTGCATCAGCATTACAGTAAGTATTTTTAGCAAGGCTAATATTGAACAACAATGGAGAAGGTCTAAGACAAAGGTAATGTAGAGTAACATGTGTCCTGTACCGAACAGACTGCCATCCTAATGACTCTCTCAATTTAAACCCCAACGTTCATTCTGACTAATTAGAAACGAATGGTCTCCCTATAGAGCTGAAACAGTTCTACGCACAGACTGGCTCACTAACCTCTGTCCTCATTTGCCAATGTCTCTCCACTCATTTCCCCTGGGCCTATCTTGTGTATTTTTCTTGCCCAGTATCCTGGAGTGCTGGAAGCAGCCTTCTAGGCAGGGACAGATGTTAAGTGGCATTGGAAATGGGTTTAGGGTCTCTGTTGGGACGACTGAACGACCCCCTCCTGATTCGCTACCTCCTGTTGTTCATACATCGCTGATGGGAAGGGGTGCACCCACACGTGCATGTACATACGTGGGTACACATGCAAGACGCACACACAAAACACGAACGCACACACACACACTTGAGTGTTCTGGAGTTGTGGTTTTCTTAATGGATGTCCGACATGTGTTTGTGTTGCTGCCACTTCTGGTTTCCACCTCATTTCCTCTCATTTAGGATTTCTCAGACTCAGCTTATTAGGTGGACAAAGTCAACAGACTACTCTTAACTGCCAAAAAAGAAAGTGTGTTAATAAAAAGTAAAGTCAACTCCCTATAGGCTTTGACTAAATGTTGGGGTATATATAAGACATCTGGATGTAAAGGTCACTGTTTGGTGTCTGAAGGTGAAAATGCTGAAATTGCAAAGTCGAATGAAATGCTGAAATGTTCTTTCTCTCTCCTACAGAAATTGCTCAGATGACCAGTTATGACAGTGGGATAGCTGAAACGCCAGAGACAGATGACTCTGTGAGTATTCAGTATATTTTATTCAAGTTTTTAATCACAGGTTTGATGTATTTCAGTAGAATAAAGTTTCTCTACTCTCGTCCTCCCAGTCCCAGAGTCTGAGCGCGGCCCTACGAGCCCGACGAAAGCCCTGCGAGATGGACTTTGAGATGACCAAACTCATCAGCAACGGAGCCTACGGGTGAGAGAATCTTCTCTGGTATAATTCAGGATTGTTATGATGGAACCCAAATCTGTTTCAGCTGTCATTTAGGATTTGAATGGGATATGTGATTTGGATTTAGTCAAAGGACCTTTTTTTACTCATATTTTCAATCTTCAATTCATGGCCCTGTCATGTTCTGTTCCTAAACCACAAATAAGTATATACATATAATGTGTTCCCTCTCCTACAGAACTATGAATGTGTGATTTCAATCCATCTTTTCAACGTATATGAATAACCGTGTCATTCTCTGTCTGACAGAGCAATGAATGGTTGATTTAACTCAGCCTTTGCTACGTGTCTGACATATTGTTTCCTCTCTCTCCATCTCTCTCTGACAGGGCTGTGTATCTGGTGCGCCACAAGGAGACCAAGCAGCGTTTCGCCATGAAGAAGATCAACAAACAGAACCTGATGCTGAGGAACCAGATCCAGCAGGCCTTCGTGGAGAGAGACATCCTGACCTTCGCTGAGAACCCCTTTGTGGTCTCCATGTACTGCTCCTTCCAGACGCGACGACACCTCTGCATGGTCATGGAGTATGTGGAAGGTATGTAGCCATTTCTTCTTCTTTTCTTTTTTTTTTTACGGACCCAAAACTGTGGTAGACAGAAAGCTGACACCAGGGGGGATAAACTGCTCTAGAAATACTGGTTAATGTTAACATCCATCCCTATTATTTATCAAATGCACTTTTGGGGTTGGGATTAATCATTAATAATTAAACATATGTTGAATCTATTTCATTGTAGTATATTTCAATGTCGGAAATAACTCAATAAACCAATTATCTGTCTATGTGTGCCATTAGGAGGTGACTGTGCCAACCTGCTGAAGAACATGGGCCCCCTGCCTGTGGACATGGCCAGGATGTACTTTGCTGAGACTGTCCTGGCTCTGGAGTACCTTCACAACTATGGCATCGTCCACAGGGACCTCAAACCAGACAAGTCAGTCTCTAATATCTCTATATTAAAGTCAGCTAATGTCACTGAGAAGGTAGATAGATATAGCCTGGTCTCAGATCTGTTAGTGCTGACTGATGATATTTACATTTTTCTTTTCTTTTTATAATTTTTTATAAATAATTTATTTACAACATACCACACTAACCAAGCAACAACAAACAAAACACCACATGTAAACACATTACAACATTGTTCACTCTCCTCCTAATTTGACTCAGTCACATTTCTATACTATACTTCACAATTTCATCCTAACAAGACATTCAAATATAAATGTTGCGTATATGGGAGGGCTGCAATGAAATTTCAAGAACAGTAAATAAATAGGTAATTAATATTATGAAATGGTAAAGTTAGTCATAAGAACATTGCCAGTAATTTCTCATTATGTACATTATTTGTATAAATGTACATATTATTCATTTTGTATAAATAATTTTGTATCAATACCAATGATTAGTATTAATGACATATTATAAATAAAATTTCCCCCCATTTTCATTCACTCCAAGACAACTTCAAACTTGGCCCATTTGTTTTCATGTTCCTTTAGCTTTTCTTTTACTTTTGAAATAATTGTTTCAAATTTGATAGTGTTCATTGACAGTTTGAGCCATTCTGCTAAAAAGGTTGACTGCTCCTCTTTCCAGTGCCTTTAAATTACTATTTTAGCTATGCGAGTTAGTGACCTGAGCATGGAAGAATTTGGTGGATTTTGACTGATGATCTTAACCTTTTTAAAATAGTCAGTCACTTGGGTGATTGATATTATTGTACCAATTGAGCGAGATTTTGTAGGTTAGATTAGAGAGTTGTACAGTCACATGTACAGGGTTTCAGATGTAATTACAGGGTACAGTATATTTCTTGAGCTCCGAGCTCCAGCAATGCAGGACGCTATCTTCTGCCATTGGCATCTATGTTGTGGTTCTCTCTCGTTCTCTCCCTTCCCCAGTCTGCTGGTGACCTCCATGGGCCACATCAAGTTGACAGACTTTGGGCTGTCCAAGGTGGGCCTGATGAACATGACCACTAACCTGTATGAGGGACACATAGAGAAGGATGCCCGAGAGTTCTCTGATAAACAGGTACAGTGAGTGGAGATTGACATTCTACCTACAGTATAAGCCAATCTTTCTTGCTCATTTGTTTCTTTTGGTAATTAAAACAAGAAAGTAGAGAGAACATGACAACTATGGTATCCAGTCTGAACAAGGTTCGAAGTGTTCAGACTGTGGATACCAACAGCTTTCAGGTTATTATTTTTCCTATGTGACTATGTCTAGCCTCAACCTTTCGCCAAAACATACTACTAGTATGATGCGTCTATACCTGTTTTCTTCTGTCTGTGTGTGCAGGTGTGTGGGACCCCAGAGTACATTGCTCCAGAGGTGATCCTGAGACAGGGCTATGGGAAGCCAGTGGACTGGTGGGCTATGGGCATCATCCTCTATGAGTTCCTGGTCGGCTGCGTACCCTTCTTTGGAGACACACCAGAAGAACTGTTCGGGCAGGTCATCAGCGGTCAGTCTAACTCACTTCTCTCTTTTTGATTTGACATATGGGGCGAATCCTAACTTCCAATTAAGTTGAATTTGCACTTAACATTGACATCAATGCATGACTAAGTAGGAGAAAAATCTGCAGGCCTTAATGGTAATATCTAACTATTCAGTATGGAATTAGATGGTGCCAATCTTTCCGATTCATTTGGGATTGAGGCATGTAATGCACAGAACAGATGGTGTGGGGGTGTGGATTCAGCTTGACATGAGACATACATTTTTTCAAGTCTTTGATAACTTTATGATTTATGATAGCTTACAGAGGACCTCGGTGTTCCCTCTATCCTATGTTAATGAATGTGGTGCCATGACAGATTTGGTGTGCTCTCCATCATGGCAGGCCAGAGGGACCCAGTGTTAATTAAAGTGCTCTGAACACTGAGCTGAATGCCACGCTGCTCAGGCCTGAGGGCCACCATGCATATTCATGCCTCAATCCCAAATTTGATTAAAATGGGGGCGACATGGCACCAAAGAGACATCCGTGGCATGGCGCAGTCTATACTGGTGGGCGTATGCTGCTATTTTTCAACTTTTGCGAACAGTCTACACTTGTCAAACAGACATGAACACACAGACACATGGAGATACACACACAAAACATGAAGACACAGATATTTTTTCATCACATACAGTGCCTTCAGAAAGAAAGTCACATTTCCTTTGATCATCCTTGAGATGTCACTACAACTTGATTGGAGTCCACCTGTGGCCAATTCAATTGTTTGGATGTGATTTAGAAAGAAACACACCTGTCTATATAAGGTCCCACAGTTGACAGTGCATGTCAGAGCAGAAACTATACCATAAAGTCCAAGGAACTGGCCGTAGATCTCCAAAGTATAATTGTGATGAGTCATACTGTACCAGTCAAAAGTTTGGACACACCTACTCATTCCAGGGTTTTTCTTTATTTTGTACTATTTTCTACATTGTAGAATAATAGTGAAGACATCAAAACTATGAAATAACTCTATAAAGAAAAACCCTTGAATGAGTAGGTAGGTCCAAACGTATGACTGGTACTGTATATCTGGGGAAGAGTATAAAACCATTTCTGGAGTGTTGAAAGTTTCCAAGAGCACAGTGGTCTCCATCATTGGGAAATGGAAAAGATATGGAACTACCCAGACTCTGCCTAGAGCTGGCATCCGACCAAACTGAGCAACCGGGCAAGAAGAACCTTGGTCAGGGAAAGACTTGAAGATTGCTGTTCACCACCGCTCCCCATCTAACTTAACAGAGCTTGAGAAAATTTGCAAGGAAGGAAGGAAGAATGGGAGAAAATCCCCAAATCCAGATGTGAAAAGTCATACCCAAGACGACTTAAAGCTGTAATCGCTGCCAAAGGTGCTTCTACAAAATATTGACTCAGGGGTGTGAATACATTTAGATATTTCTGTATTTCATTTTCAATAAACATTTTTAAAAAATGTTTAAACAAATTAAATCACTTAGTAATTATGGGGTGTGTGATGGTCGAGAAATATTATCTATTTAATCAATTTGGAATTCAGGCTGCAACAATTTGAATAAGTTGAAGGGTATGAATACTTTCTAAAGGGACTGTAATGATTCTGTTTTTTCAGACCTGGATAATACATATTATGTTGTTAATAACTTCTAGCTAACTCCATATGTGTTGTCTATGGGATATTGCTAACGGCTAGTCAATTGTTTGCTTTGTGTATGGGATATCGTTGCTAACTTCTAGCTAGCTCTGTATGTGTTGTCTATGGGATATTGCTAAGTACTAACTGAGTGTGTTGTTGGTTCCAAGATGAGATCACCTGGCCGGAAGGAGAGGACGCTCCCCCTGCCGACTCCCAGGAACTGATCACCCTGTTACTCAGACAGAACCCTCTGGAGAGGATGGGCACAGGTAGGCACAAGTTGTGCACAACACATGCCACATACAAATACCTTTTTCACACTACCAAACCAAGCCAAGCTGTACTGGGCTGGTCTGGTTTCACATCCACCATAGTTGATGGAAAAGTGCTGGAAAGGTCAATGTGAAAAGAAAAATTAGAGCCAGCAAAGTACGGTTCGGGTCGGCCCCATATTTATGTGAATCAGGCAAAAGATTGGATTTATGTGGGCTACGTTTAGTTTGTTGAAACTCGGCACATGAAAGGAAACGTTTTCTATTATTAGAGGTTGAAGGTGTTACCAGGGAGCATTCTCTCCCCTCAGTTAAAACAGTCCAGGTACAGACAGGGGTTATTGTCATAACTCTCTGGGTGCCTTCTCAGCGCAGCCCATTATTTAAAGGTACAAGGTGGGACAAATGGGATCAAACAAATGGGCGGAACAGTTTATCACAAAACCCCACTGCCTCACCTTTTCCTTTCCTCAATTACAATAATTCCTCCCGGGCCGCCTCAAATGTCGACCCGGGCAAGGTCACGCATCTTCAGCGTCTGCGAATCATAAACATTGTCCCTGACCTGAGATGAAGCCACGGGCTCCCCAGCGCGTCTCAAATGACACCATATTTGCTATATATCCCATAGGGCTCTGGTCAAAAGTAGTGCACCATATAGGGAATAGTGTGCCATTTGGGATGCAGGCTTTGTCTCCTGCATAGCAGGTTATGCACGACTGTATTCATCAGAGCCAATCCACCGGTTGGGGTCAAACCATTCAGCGGCGGCCCTCCATCTCTTCCTCAAAGGTCACCGCCAGGAAATTGCAAGGCATAATTAATGGCCGGTGATATCACTTTTGGGTGCTGGCCAATGAAAAAGAGAGGATCAAACGTTAGCGTCTGCACTTCTTCCTTTTGTGTGGGGGCAGTGGCACTGCTGTCCAATGTCAACCTTTGTCTTGGATGAAGTGGATGTGTGTGTGTGTGTTTTTGTATGCGGGTGCTTGCAGTAGGCCTATGTGTGCAAGATATCTGTGTCCATCTCTGTGAGTCTGCATGTGTATGCGTGTGTGTACAGTGCATTTGGAAAGTATTCAGACTCCTTGACTTTTTTCCACATTTTGTTACGTTACAACCTTATTCTAAAATTGATTTTTTTTTTTTTACATCCCTCATCAATCTACACACAATACCCCATAATGACAAAGCAAAAACAGGTTTTTAGACATTTCTGGGGGGGGGGGGAATTAAATATAACATTTACATAAGTATTCGGATCCTTTACTCAGTACTTTGTTGAAGCACCTTTGGCAGCGATTACAGCCTCAAGTCTTCTTGGGTATGACGCTACAAGCGTGGCACACCTGGTCCCGTGTGGCTCAGTTGGTAGAGCATGGCGCTTGCAACGCCAGGGTTGTGGGTTCGATTCCCACGGGGGGCCAGAATGTAGAAAGAAATTTATGAAATGTATGCACTCACTACTGTAATTCGCTCTGGATAAGAGTGTCTGCTAAATGACTAAAATGAATATGAAAATGATATTTGGGGAGTTTATCCCATTCTTCTCTGCAAACCTCTCAAGCTCTGTCAGGTTGGATGGGGAGCTTTGCTGCACAGCTATTTTCAGGTCTCTCCAGAGATGTTCGATTGGGTTCAAGTCCTGGCTCTGGCTGGGCCACTCAAGGACATTCAGAGACTTGTCCCGAAGCCACTCCTGCATTATCTTGGCTATGTACTTAGGTTCGTTGTGCTGTTGGAAGGTGAACCTTCGCCTCAGTCTGAGGTCCTGAGCAGGTTTTCATCTAGGATCTCTCTGTACATTGCTCCGTTCATCTTTCCCTCGATCCTGACTAGTTTCCCTTTCCCTGCCACTGAAAAACATCCCCACAGCATGACGCTGCCACCACCATGCTTCACCGTAGGGATGGTGCCAGGTTTCCTCCAGACGTGACGCTTGGCATTCAGGCCAAAGCGTTCAATCTTGTTTTCGTCAGACCAGAGAAAATTGTTTTTTCATGGTCTGAGAGTCTTTAGGTGCCTTTTGGCAAACTCCAAGCATGCTGTCATGTGCCTTTTACTGAGGAGTGGCTTCTGTCTGGCCGCTCCTTAAAGGCCTGATTGGTGGAGTGCTGCAGAGATGGTTGTCCTTCTGCAAGGTTCTCCCATCTCCACAGAGGAACTCTGTAGTGCTGTCAGAGTGACCATCGGGTTCTTGGTGACCTCCCTGACCAAGGCCCTTCTTCCCCGATTGCTCAGTTTGGCCAGGCGGCCAGCTCTAGGAAGAGTCTTGGTGGTTCCAAACTTCTTCCATTTAAGAATGATGGAGGCCACTATGTTTTTGGGGACCTTCAATGCTGCAGAAATGTTTTGGTACCCTTCCCCAGATCTGTGCTTCGACACAATCCTGTCTCGGAGCTCTACGGACAATTCCTTGAGATTGAGAGGGGGTCAAATACTTATTTCCCTCATTAAAATGCAAATAATAATGCGTTTTTCTGGATTTTTTTGTTGTTATTCTGTCTCTCACTGTTCAAATAAACCTACCATTAAAATTATAGACTGATCATTTCTTTGTCAGTGGGCAAACGTACAAAATCAGCAGGGGATCAAATACTTTTTTCCCTCACTGTATGTATCTGTTCATAATGTGTATGTCCATTCATCCTTAGGCGGTGCTTATGAGGTGAAGCACCACCAGTTCTTCCACACTCTGGACTGGGACAGTCTGCTGAGACAGAAGGCTGAGTTCATCCCTCAGCTGGAGTCAGAGGACGACACCAGCTACTTCGACAGTGAGTCTAGTCTACTTCCTGCTCTTAAAATGTACAGTAATCTATACTATATAATACAGCTACTTCGAAGGTGAAAGTTAGGTAGGATAGTAATTAATGTTTTTTCCCCACAGCTCGATCAGATAGGTACCATCACCTGGAGACGGAGGAAGAGGAGGATACGAATGATGAAGACTTCAACGTGGAGCTACAACAGTTCTCCTCCTGCTCTCACAGATTCTCCAAGGTGTGTTCTTTCTTTCTCTTTTTTTCTTTTTCTCTCTCTGTATATTTCTCTCTCTTTCTCTCACTCTATTTTGCTGTCTCTCTCACTCTCTAGATAAGTTACAAAGCCTTCACTCAAGGCATTACTGCTTACACACTTCCATATCACTCCTTATGATAGAAAGCCAATTGTGGATCAATTAAGAGCTAATCAGGGCTGCCAGATTAGCTCTTCATTGCTCTATCTGTATGAATATTATCCAAATGCATCAGAATCTCTCATGGCTTCACGTTGAAAATAAATTACTATCCAGTCTTCTGATTTTTTCAGACCAGTTAGTACATACTAGCAACACGCATAACCACCAAAACAGACAGGTAAATTCGCCTAAAATCTACAGTTTTATATAGAGCCATAGCTGAATGGAACTCTTTACCAATCCATATTTCTCAGGCAAAAAGTAAATCCACCTTCAAGAAATAAATAAAAGAACATCTAATGCGATAGACCATATGACTGAACAGGAAATAGAAAGCATCAACTGAATGTTGAATGTGTTACCTGTCAGATACTTTAATTGTCTGTATTGTCTACTTGTTAAATGTTTGTAAAGTCTTAATTTGTAATTGTTTGTAATGTCTTATTAATTGGTGTTGGACCCCAGGAAGATTAGCTAACGTTACGGCGTTAGCTAATGGGGATCCTAATAAAAAAATCACAAAATTCACCTTAAACAGAAAACAAATGTAGTTCAAACCAATATCTGGAATGCTTTCAATATAAACTCAACATGTAAGATTTCATATGGAACAGACTGCTTTGTTTGGTCCATAAAACATGCTATGCGTCTTTCCCTCAACCCCCTACAGCATGTAATGTTCTGCTGCAAATCATATCTATTTTGGGAGAACGTAGAAGACAATGCAAACACGTGTGCATTGTTGTGCTGCATTGCAGTATGCTCTGCCTCTGAAAACAATGTGCCTTCGAAGGCGGGAGAATGGGTTTTTTCTGTGATCCACCACGACCCTTTTGAGTTTTTGTTACCCACCAGTTTTGTAGTCTAACCAGTGGCTAACCAGTGGCTGCTGCCACTATTTTGGAATCACTGCCTGTTTTCTATAGTATCAAGGTCTGTCCCAACTTTTACCTAATCATACTATGAATGGATATATTGATGATAGTGATGTGTTTAGGTGTACAGTAGTCTTGTCCTCTATGAGGACAGTCTGTAACGTCTCTGTCTGCCTGTCTGTCCCTGCATGGTGTTCAGGTATCTAACAGTTTGTCTGTGTCTGTCTCTCTGTCTATCTGTGTGGTGTGTAGGTGTACAGCAGCTTGGACCTGTCCCGTGGCCAACTGGAGGAGAAGGGTGAGATGGAGGAGAAGAAGAATGAGAGCCCTCTGACTGTAGACTCTCTGAGCTGGACCCCAGAGTTCACTGAAATGTACGTTCCACAACATCCCTTCTGTTACACTAAAACTCTGGTTAATGACCATCTATTGTTTTCACACACCTTTGGTACACTATTAATTCAGTTCCCCCACCATTACACTTGCAAGGGTCTCAGAATACCTTAAGACAAAGATGGCAATGCATAACCGTCTTATATTAACCCAATTCGTCAGTACAATAATTATAATACAGTAAGCTAGTATGTTTTTAATGTTCTTTTTCTGAGGGTGGTTGATATTTACCCAATTCCATTTTCTCCCCCCAGGCACTCCCTGTCCCGATCCTCGGACACAGAGAGCACTAGCATGGGCCTTCGCCCCCCCCGCCTTCTCCCCAAGTTCGCTATCTCGGCCGAGGCAGAGGACGGAGTTGAGGAGTCCATGGTCCTGGGGGACCCCAGCAAGGTGGCCTTCTCCATCGGAGAGGACGAGGTTGACGCAACCACCCCCGGGAGCACCCACAGCGGGGCTACTCTCTCTGGTATGGAGGCCTGGGCCTGGAGCACTGGTTAGAGCTGATAGAAGATATAGGGATAATGCTAGATATAGGCATCATGTTGGGTGTTTAAGACTGTGGTTCAACTGATATTCAAGAGCAAAAAAGTAATGATATGGGTATCACATGGCACTGTGTTCAATGTTTTTAATGTGCTTGACTGTAACAAAAGAAATATGGAACATTTCTGACATAATTGTACCTGTTCTTCTTTGGTCAGTAGGTAGTTTCTCGGAGCACCTGGACCTGCTTCCTTCCAGGGGTGAGGGCGTAGACAGCCCTGACTCCTCCTCCAAGACTCCCATGGACCTGGGAGGGAAGCATGGCATCCTGCAGCCCGATGGACATGGGGATAAGCATGGTGGTGTTGCCAAAGTCCCCAAGTCTGTCTCAGCAAGTGCCCTCTCCCTCATGATCCCTGGAGGTGAGAGGATACACACACACACTACCCCTGTGATCTCTAGCATTTCGATTTAGAGGAGGACAGGATGAGAAGTAAGAGCTAGAACAGAATTAGAATTAGAGCGATGGATTTCAAGAGAGACATTAAAGATGCCGAGATGAAAGATCTGTGTGAAATTGGCACGGCTCCTGCTGGGATGAGGCTCCAGTTTATGAAGTGGCTGTGAGCGCAGTAGCCCAGAAGAGAAGCCTCTAACTGGGGTGGTGAGCTGAGAGAGAGGCCTCTCCACTGCTGGGAGGTGGGTAAATCCCTTAGGTCTCACAGTGATTCCTGGCTCCCAGGCTTTATAGGAACAGCTGGCTACTGAGGGGAGAGCTACTGGAAGACAGGTCAATAGAAATGACAGTAGCGGTCTTTGTATGTGTGTGTCTGTGTTTTCACCTTTAAATGAACCTATTTTGGTTTGAAGAATTAGAGAATTCACTCTACAAAATTAGGATAAAAATGGATGGTGTGCTATTCAAAAACGTATATGGCAGCACTTATTTTGCTTTAACACTATCTGGCAGATTCCCAGATTAGTCCCTTGATTGTATCTCAATGACCACATTATTTCCCGTAGTAAAATGTCCTTCATTAATGTGCCTCTCATATGGTTACAGATATCATTAGAAATGTCTTTCTCATTCTTCCAGATACCTTAAACGCACGCCTGCTTTGTGATATTTACAGCCGTTTTAAATCATTTAAAATACTGATATTTATTTTTCCGTCTTATTGTTCCAGATATCTTCGGGGTGTCCCCTCTGGCCAGCCCCATATCCCCCTACTCCCTCTCCTCGGACCCCTCCTCTCGTGACTCTTCCCCCAGCCGAGACTCCTCCCTCTGCGTCATCTGCCCTCGGCAGCCAATCATCATCCACAGCTCGGGGAAGAAGTTTGGCTTTACGATGCGGGCTATCCCGGTGTACGCCTGCGACCGTGATGTCTACACTGTCTACCACACGGTCTTGGTAAGAACAAACACAGTCAAATAGCTAATGAAGTACCGGTAATAAAGTACATTTCTGTTGATGGTCACTTTCATCTACGTTATTGAATAATACATCTAGTGGCTGGATTCAATTAAACCTGAGAAACAATGTTTTGTTTTTGTACTGCAATAAGGTCTCATTATTGAGTGATGATAGATACAGTAGCTAACAGTGTGTTTCTGTGTGTTGTTTAGAATGTGGAGGAACCGGGTCCGGCCCACAAGGCTGGGCTGAAAGCTGGTGACCTCATCACTCATGTGAATGGCGAGCCGGTCCACGGCCTGGTCCACACCGAGGTGGTGGAACTGCTGCTGAAGGTCAGAGAACCATTGGCTATAAATAAAATGTATAAAGCTTTCATCAGATATACTGTAACTGCTAGTAACAATTGTCCACAAAGGGTAATGACGTAATCGTATAAGCATAAGGTATATGTTAAGGGTATTTCTAGTTTGTAACTTGATATTCTCATGATGGAGTTCATATCTCACTGTTTATCTACCAGTAATTTAATTTACAGTAGTCCAGCCCACTATTTTTATTTCCAACCCTGTTTCTAACGTAATACTCTCACAATGGAGCTAATTCATTTTGGGCCAGTTTATCTTATGTATCTGTGTATCTGCTTCCTTTCCAGAGTGGAAGTAAGGTGGCAATCTCCACCACTCCATTTGAGAACACCTCCATCAAAACAGGGCCTGCCAGGAGGAACAACTGCAGGAGCAAGATGATCCGACGCACCAAGAAGCCCAAGAAGGAGAAGACACAAGAAAGGCAAGAATTTCATGTTTGGTTTTGTTGTTTTCTATATGAGAAACCATTTCATTATTAAATATGAACTAATTAACTAGATCTAGGTCTCTGTACAGTGTGCTCTGTAGAGGTCACGAGTAAACTTGTACAGCAAGTGTTCAGGTTTTGTCATATACAGAATAACCACAGGGTGTAGCTGTGGCTCCTTACAACAGTGCTAAAACTCCCTCTGTCACTACTAGACAATGGTAACTCATCACTACTGTCAGTCAAGTTTTTCATTACAAAGATCTCACTGTGGCTTTCATTTTTGATTGACTGAATGGTTTTATTGGTTACTCAAGAACATATACATTGTAATACCACCATTTAAGAACAATGATCATAGATGTCACAACAACACTACACATTATCTATTTTCTACCTTGAACAAAATTTACATTATCTATGGAACATTCTTTCTTGGCCCTATAGTGGTGGACTGATTTGGTGTCTTCTCTCTTCTATATTTCTGCTCTTTGCCAGAATGCATATAGTTATAACACAATTTTAAGGATTGTTTTCTTAGATTAGACTCTCCAGAGTCTAGACCACAAATATAATATAGTGAGTGTCTGGGCCTCATACTGGTAGACTGACCTTGCCTTCTCTCCTCTCTCTCTCCAGGCGGCGGTCTGTGTTCAGGCGTTTTGCCATGCAGCCCTCCCCTCTGCTGCAGACCAGCCGTAGTTTCTCCTCTCTCAACCGCTCCCTGTCCTCTGGGGAGAGTCTCCCAGGGTCCCCTACCCACAGCCTGTCCCCCCGCTCCCCCACCGCAGCCTTCCGACCCACCCCTGACTTCAACCAGTCAGGTGAAATAGACTGTCAATCATTCATATTTTATGGAATAAATTAAATGTACACAATAAAATACATTTTAGAATTGATCAGTGTTTATCAGTAAAACAATCAATGTTTCTTAAATTAAGATCAATGTACAATATTTACCACTATAAAATATTACTAGTTGAATAACGTCCTTCCCTCTGTGTTTCCAGGTGGCAACTCCTCTCAGAGTAGCTCCCCGAGCTCCAGCGCTCCAAACTCCCCCGCAGGCTCCGGCCACATCCGTCCCTGCACCCTCCACGGCCTGGGCCCCAAACTGACTGGCCAGAGGCTCCGACAGGGCCGTCGCAAATCCGCCGGCAGCATTCCCCTCTCCCCGCTGGCCCGCACCCCATCCCCGACCCCCCAGCCCACCTCCCCGCCTGGCTCACCCTCTCCTTTACTCAGCCATGGGTCCATGGGGATCTCCAAGACCACCCAGGCCTTCCCAGTCAAGATGCACTCACCCCCCACCATTGTCCGCCACATGGTACGGCCCAAGAGCGCGGAACCGCCCCGCTCTCCGCTCCTCCAGCGGGTGCAGTCAGAGGAGAAGCTGTCACCCTCCTACACGGGCGACAAGAAGCACCTGTGTTCCAGGAAGCACAGCCTGGAGGTGACCCAGGAAGAGGCCCTGGGAGAGGAGGTGCGGCCTGGAGACATGGACCACCACACCCTGCAGAGTGTGGAGGAGACGCCCTGCGAGCCTCCGGCCATCACCCGGGTCCGGCCGGCTGAGCAGGGCTGCCTCAAGAGACCCGCTGGTCGCAAGATGGGTCGGCAGGAGTCTATGGAGGAGCTGGACAAGGAGAAACTGAAAGCCAAGGGGGTGATGAAGAAACAGGACTGGTCAGAGAGGCGAGAATCCCTGCAGAAGCAGGACGCTCTACAGGAGTCTGATACATCTGGTACAGAAGGAGGAAGAAGCCAGGGCAGAAGCCAAGGCTCAGAGACAGTCTCACTGGAAGGCAAAGCTGCCGGCTCCACCCTAAAAGATGTCCTGTATAAGAAGCTGAACACGCGCGCCTGTGAGGGCACCCCCGAACCACTAGGGGGCAATAGCGCTGACTCGCCTCTGTGCTCTGTCCATCCTGACTGGAGCCCCCAGAAGGCTGAGTGGCAGCTGTCCAGGCAGAGCAAAGATGGCGGTAAGCCAGACAGGCTTGACTTCAAGGCCCCCAACATGGAATTTGCCCGGAAGAGGCAGTCGTTCGAGGAGCGAGAAGATGGCATGTGTCGACTCTCTCCCGGCATTCATGAGAGCCTCCATTTTGGCTCCATCCGGTCCAAGAGTCTCCAGCTGGACTCAGCGCTGGCTCTAGACCACATCAAAGGTACCATGGGCAGCGTCCACTCCAGCCCTGAGGGCCTGAACCCAAAGATGTTCTCTGGGAGGGGGGAGGGAAGTGCTGTGGAGAAACTCCAGCTCATCTCCTCCAATGAAGGCTCCCTCAGGAAGACCTCCTCGGAGTACAAGCTGGAGGGGCGTCTGGTCTCCTCACTCAAACCCCTGGAGGGCACCCTGGACATTGGCCTGCTCTCCGGGCCAAGGGTGTCTAAAACAGACACCTGCCTCTCCAAGATGGCCGACAGTGATGGCGGCTCAATAGGGATGCCCACGTGGCTGCAAAGCCCAGTTGAGCGGCAGGTGTTGATTCCCTTGCTCAAACCCTCTGACAAGCAGAAGAGCCCCCCCACCAGTATACTAAGCGCTGGAGCTGTTGTGGTCCTCAGCAGTCCAGTTCCCGCCAAAGAAGAGGCTAGTATTTCCAACACTGGGCTTAAATGCAGTAGCAGAGGTGAGAAGCCACACAACAGACCTAGTCACAGTGAACCCCCAACGGCTCCCTCCAAGGCAGAGGTCTCCGACTTTGGTGGGAAACAAGAGAGCAGGTCCAGTATGATAGCTCACGATCATAGGACATCCCGCCACAGCGCCCACTTCTCCCACTGTGGGAAGACGCCCTCCATACGGGAGGTCAGCAATGAAGACCAGGAGGAGGAGGTGGAGCCACCTCAAGAGACCTCAGCTCCCGCACAGCAAATCAACATGGACATCTCCAAGACATCCAATACAGTTATCGCCGCAAAGCTAGGGAGTCCCAAAAAGACTACAGCATCTGTCCCTGCCTCAAAGGTGGAGGTTCAAACAACTGCCTCTAATGTAGCTGTACCAGTGAGGCAAAGTTCAGATTGTCAGACAGGGCCTAGTTACCTGCAGAGCATTGAGAAACAAGGACCAGCTGAGAATACAGGTAGTATCACTACATTTGTACAATATATTTTAGAGCAGACTCCATACCTGTCAAAGCAGCAGATGGTATACAGCAGTCCCTCGACAGAGACCACAACACAAACGTCCATCCCTGCGCCAATCTCTAGTCTTGGAGGTATGAACCTAACCAGTGGTCAAGCGTCTCAAAGACGGCACAGCACGGAGAAAACCCAAAATCCGGACAAGGTTCAAAGCAACAGGCCAGTTCCAAACAATGCCAATGAACCTGCCAGTGTGTCTGCTGTTGAGGAGCTCAAAACTGCAAATGCAGGAAGAGATAAAATGACCGAAGTCAGAGAGACAAGTCCTAAAGTGGATGTAAAATGTGGCTTGTCTAAATACATTTTGGACAATGCAACTGCTAAAACAGAAGCAACACAGACGTGTGATCAAAGAAAATATGCTTGTACCATTAGCAGTCTTGTAGCGATTAGTAGTGTAGCAAAGCAAAGTAGAGAAGATCCCACTTCACCAAAGATGAAGGGTAGCAATGCAAAGACTGGAGAGCGAGAGCAGTCATCTTTAACAAATCGATCTGCTGAGAAGGCTTGGGTCAAAGGGGCTCTTGAGGCAGAAATACCAGTCTCTAAAAAGCAAACTGTTGATGTAAATATCAAAGAGACAAGTCCTGTGCGGACAGTGAAACAGTCACCACCAAGTCCCGCTTCAACAAAACAAATGATTTTCAATCCCAAAACTAAGCCAAGATCTGACTCACCACTTGCTTCACAAACTGTTGGGAAGACAGAGGAGGAGAGGGGGAGGTATGAAGCGAAAACTCCTGCCACAGCCCCAGTCGTCAAAGTAAGCCTGGATTCAAAACTGCGAGAGTCATCTCAGAAAACCCCAGTCTCAATGGTCAAAGAAATCCCAGACTCAAAGCAGAAAGAACCCCTACACAAAACCTCAGTCCAAAGCCATGTCAAAGAAAGTTCAGACTCCAAACTAAAGGAATCTTTGTCACAAACTCCTGCCCCAACTCCAGTTGTCAGACAAACCTCTGCTGACCCAAAAAAGAAACAGAAAGAACCAGAACCCCACACCTTTGCCCCAACCCCAGCCCAATTCATCAAAGATAACCTGGACTCAAAACAGAAATCACCCCCTCAGAAAACCTCTATCTCAACCTCAATCAACTCAAAACAAAAGGAAATCACTACTTCAACAGTTGTCAGACAAATCATAGACTCAAAACAGAAATCACCCCCTCACAAAACCCTTGCCCCAACCGCAACCCCTGTCATGAAAGAGCCAGCACCTGTCTTTGCTGCAACCCGACAAAGCCAGAAAGAGCCTCCGACCTGGGCCAGTGCTCCCTCCCAGTCCACCCCTGTACCAGTGCTGCTAGCCCCAGCAGTGAGAAGAGAAGCACACCTACCCAACGGTGGAGCTCTCTCAAGCAGGGCCAGCGGCAGTACTGGACAGGAGGCTGTGGTCCAGACCTCCAGGGAGGACCAGGGGAAGCCGAGGGTAGAGGCCCCCAGGTCAGAAGGCCTTAGGTTGGACTCTCATAGGGGCCTGGGTGGGGTGGATGCCACAGGGCCAGCAGCCACCACCCCCAGCAACAGCACCCCCCAGGCCAAACACAGCACAGCTGAACCCAGGGTCACTAACTCTGACAAACAGGTAGCCACCAGCCGAAAAGAACAGGCTGACAAGAAGAAAGGGGAATCTGCTCAAGAGGTAGCGTCTGCACAGAAAAACACCAAGAGAGAGACTTCAAGAGTGGCTGCTGCAGGAAAAGATGGCACAGGTTCAGACAAAGACTCGGCTCGACACAAGCAAACCAAGGAGTTGCCACGTGGCCCCGCAAACAGAAAGTAAATGCGGGATTAAAAAAATAAGACGGCAGCCACCTTTGCTTTTGCGATATATCTGAAATAAGACATTTTTGTTTTTGTTAGTAGTGTCGTCATGCCTTATTTTTTTGAGAACCGGGGAAGCTGTTACTTCAGTGTTTATATTGCGTGAGAGAGATTTGTGTGTGTTATTCTGAGTGTATGTGGTGGTGAATGCAAATGCTTGGTCGATACCATAAATGTCTAACGTTTTTGGACTGAATGTAGACTGATTTGCTGCTCATTTGTGGTTCTCTGCTGTGTGTAAAAAAAGTGTCATTTGTATCCTGAGATTGTTTGGAGTTTTTATTTTTAATCGACAGCAGAGTGCAATGTGCAATCAACATGTCAGGGGGCAGTATGGAGTAGCCTTTTCCAAGGTTGAATTGAATTGCACTGGGTTTAGAGTTCTGGGTTTAGAGCACCTGACATTGAAGGTAACAGACTTTCGATGCGTGTAGACTGAACTATGTCCATTTCACTCCCACTCAAAGAGCTGTGTGAGTTGAAAACACAGTAGTCATGGCACATCATCGAATCAACCATTTAAGAGGTGTGACATTGATGCAGATCATTCACTGGCACTCGTCATACAGAAGTCAAATATCACCAAAAGTTTGTTTAGATACTTTATCTTATGTCGCTTTTCCTTTATTTTTATTACCTAGAGGGGAAGTGTGCTTTTTTGGTTTTCGGTAGCGGTGCACAGAAGAAACGCACTATGTTCTGTTCTTCTCACCTATAACTATTTAATATGGAATCATCTTACGGTTCTGGAATCATATTTAGTTGAAGGGGCCTTAGGGTTAAGGGGAATAAAAAACACTTGCTGTTCTTAGCAGGTTATGTTGTAATTCACATTCCTTTCACATACATCTCTACATTTCTTAACCTTTGATTTTTATGCAATATCTTGTAAATAATTATGACAAAACTAACTGTAAAAATTGGGATACATGGGTTTAAGTAAATATAAGTGTTTGTTTTTTATATGTATATATTTTGCAATGTCATGTTTGTATACTCAGTGATATGTCATTTCAGAATCATGTTCTGCTTGATAATTCTATGGTCTAGAATAAGCTAACGTAATGTCTATCTATACCTATCCAAAAGACATCCTCTCTCTAACATAGTAGTTTTAACACTTCTGATATGTTCTGAATTTTACTTGAAAAGAAATAAAGCATAAATGGGCAATTGTGCTTTTCCTCAAACATGTAGTGTTGAAAATTAAAAAATTAAAAAAAAACTGTGAGTGGAAAGTGGTTCCCAAGAATGCGTTCAATCTCGATATTGCCATAATGATGTATGTAGAATTGTAATAAACTGGAATATTTCACTGAGCCCAATACATTTGAATATTTCACTGAGAAAATATGTATGTTATTATGACAGTGTAGAATGCAAGCTCCATGGAGTTGATGGAATGAACCAACAATTCTAAGTATGTTTGCCACTAGGAAGAGATTTCTGAAAGTCCGTTTTTAAGGAGTAGTCTGCATCTATTCGGTGTTGTTTTCCAGTTTTGTTTATATTTGTGCGGCTAGACGTTCATACAATGTGAAATGCATTTTTGGGTATGGTAAATTAAAAAGGGCTAAAATTCAAGTAAACGTCTAGAAAATATTGGGAATGTCAGGGTTGCAAGAGATTCGATTTCAGTTAAAGTTCTGAAGTTGTGTTCTAGCCTTGTATTGTTTCTGTCATTTTCATTAATCTCCTGATTTATGTACCAGATCAGCCAGATGAAACTATATCCAGTTAAATGTCTAGCTAACAGTAGGCTTGAAATTACAGATTTTGTAAGAACAAAATGCACCATTAAAGAAATCTTAGTTCATATACATAAGTCATTATTCTAGACAGTTGGTGATTATACTGGCTTTGTGTATCAAAAAACAGTGGACTTCTTTTACACTGACAGGATGTCCTGTAGTTTAGCTGCCAGGCCTTTTGATTGCATACCGTAAATATCCAACACAAAGTAGATTTCTAAATATGCTGTACAATATTTACTCTATAATGTAGGCTATGTCATAACAATAAACAATCTACTGTATCTTAGGGAGGCAAACAAAAACACTTTCTAAACAGGACACTATGTATTTACATAAATGGTCAACTGTACCCAAGAATGCACATTGTAGACAAATAACAAATGAGATTGATAGATTTTTTAAATAAGAATCTGAAGTTTTACTATTCTCATTTAGTTATTGTAAATGTATTGTCAAACGTTTGGGGAGGGAAAATAATAATATTAGACACCTGTCCCCTTCTAGTTGCAGTAGTTGGGGGAGAATTGGGAAAGAATGATTGAGATGACAATGTTGTTCCCTATCAAACAGGCTCTTCCCACTGGGCAAAAGCTGGTTGAATCAACATTGTTTTCACGTCATTTCAACCAAAAAGATTCAATGTGATGACATTGAATCAACATGGAAACTGATTGGATTTGAAAAAAGTCATCAATGTATGGGAATTTCATATTTTTTTCATCTAACTTTTAACCGAAATCCAATGACATGGTGACATTTTTTTTTTTTTTCACGTTAGATGACAACTCAACCAAATATAAATCAAAACAAGACGTTGAACTGATATCTGTGCTCAGTGGGTGGATACAGACGGAAATTAATCGAAAACACTTTCTGTGAATGATGGAGCGTCTATTTGTCCCCATGCTTTTTTTCTGATGATTGATGTTTAAATCCTTTTAAAATAGCACATTCAGTGTTTGTTTACAAATACTACATGGATGTATATTTTGTATATTGTGTTAATGATTTGCCAAATGTATGTGCTACGTCACAGGAAATATGTTTGTGTTGGTAGTGTCTGTGACTTCATCACCTACCCAGCCACCCAGTTGTGTTGTTAAAGACTGTCTGTGTGGTGGTCAATATGTCTCTGTTTCAACATCCGTCGGGTCCCACATTGTCCTGCTTGTTTTTGGAGTTTCCTTTTTTCCTTTATATGTGTGAAACTAGTATTAGATTAACTTGATTACTATGGTTTGTCTTTTAGGATCTGTACAATAAAGATGTTTGAGTTTTTGTATTTCGCCCAAGGAAATCTCTATGGATGTCATAGATGTATATTAAAACAGATATTTATACTTCTAAAGTTGCATAACACTGAAAATAAAAAGGCATGATAAAAGTCTGTTTCTTTTCATTATTGATTTAATGAAATGATCATGAAAAATCTGAATATGCATTATTATTTGTATCATTGTGATATTAAGATTATGTAGCGATACACTAAAAAGGCATGCCTGGTCTTTTTATCCTTGGAAAGTTCAGTTGTAATGTATATGGTAGAACTACCCTGATTGTGTTAGTCAATGAACTAAGCTTAGTTCTGACCCACTTACTTGGATAGTCCCCTTAAGATGGTCTATAAATGCTCAAACTGTCATCTGCAACTGTTGATATGCAACCGCTTGCTTTTGTTTTAAGTTAAATTTAGGGTTGGGCTAGGGTTAGTGGATAGTTAGCTGAACAGTTTTAAAAAATATATAGTTTTGTTTATACTTCTTAGGGGGTAGATCAGCTTTAATATTGCAGATTGTACCTTCCATCAATGTAATGTCTGCATAATTTCCAATCCCCCATATAAATATATATATATATATATATATATATATATACACACTACACTACCGTTCCAAAGTTTGGGGTCACTTAGAAAAGTTTGAATAAAAATGCATAGGAAATGTAGTCATTGACAAGGTTAGAAATAATGATTTTTAATATAAATAATAATTGTGTCCTTCAAACTTTGCTTTCGTCAAAGAATCCTCCATTTGCAGCAATTACAGCCTTGCAGACCTTCTAGGCATTCTAGTTGTCAATTTGTTTCCTGAAGCACCTCCCACAAGTTGGATTGGCTTGATGGGCACTTCTTCCATACCATACGGTCAAGCTGCTCCCACAACATCTCAATAGGATTGAGATCCGGTTACTGTGCTGGCCACTCCATTATAGACAGAATACCAGCTGACTGCTTCCCTAAATAGTTATTGCATACTTTGGAGCTGTGCTTTGGGTCATTGTCCTGTTGTAGGAGGAAATTGGCTCCAATCAAGCGCCGTCCACAGGGTATGGCATGGCGTTGCAAAATGGAGTGATAGCCTTCCTTCTTCAAGACCCACCACCAAAGCACCCCCAGACCATCACATTGCCTCCACCATGCTTGACAGATGGCATCAAGCACTCCTCCAGCATCTTTTCATTTGGTCTGCGTCTCACAAATGTTCTTCTTTGTGATCCGAACACTTCAAATTTCGATTCGTCTGTCCATAACACTTTTTTCCAATCTTCCTCTGTCCAGTGTCTGTGTTCTTTTGCCAATCTTTTCTTTTTATTGGCCAGTCTGAGATATGGCTTTTTCTTTGCAACTCTGCCTAGAAGGTCAGCATCCCGGAGTCGCCTCTTCACTGTTGACGCTTAATGAAGCTGCCAGTTGAGGACATGTGAGGCGTCTGTTTCTCAAACTAGTATGTATTTGTCCTCTTGCTCAGTTGTGCACCGGGGTCTCCCACTCCTCTTTCTATTCTGGTTAGAGCCAGTTTGCGCTGTTCTGTGAAGGGAGTAGTACACAGCGTTGTACGTGATCTTATGTTTCTTGGCAATTTCACGCATGGAATAGCCTTCATTTCTCAGAACAAGAATAGACTGACGAGTTTCAGAAGAAAGATATTTGTTTATGGCCATTTTGAGCCTGTAATCGAACCCACAATTGCTGATGCTCCAGATACTCAACTAGTCTCAAGAAGGCCAGTTTTATTGCTGCTTTAATCAGCACAACAGTTTTCAGCTGTGCTAACATAATTGCAAACAGGTTTTCTAATGATCAATTAGCCTTTTAAAATGATAAACTTGGATTAGCAAACACAACGTGCCATTGGAACACAGGACTGATGGTTGCTGATAATGGGCCTCTGTACGCCTATGTAGGTATTCCATAAAAAATTTG